GGCATTTGGGCCCCGCTCCATGCAGCGTGCTGGCTTGGTTTCCCAAAGTGCTCACACTGCTGCCGAGGATTCAAGACAGAGGAGAACACCTGGAAAGCCCGTGTCTTTCTAAACACACGAGGCAGATCAGATTGTGTCACACACAAGTGGGGAAACAGCCTCATTTCACAGGATGGGTAATCAAGCCAACTACTGCACCCATCCTGGAGCCTCGGCAACGACATTACTGGAGAAGAGGAGGCTGCGGGATGGATGCGTACCTCCAGCAGAGACAAGAACCCTAAAACTTCAAAGTGAGGGCTTTTCCTTTTTTTTTTTTTTTTTTGCAGTGGACTTACACAGACATAGTGGAGCCGAAGTACTGGCGTCTTGCACCACAAGACAGCTAGGCAAGGCCAGGTTTGGCCTGCCCAGGGCTGACCTCACCTCGCTTACTTCACAAACCGGAGCGTCTCACCTCCGCCGTGATTTTGCAGCAGGACAGCTAGTACGCCCGCGTTATCTGGTGGCAATCACAAGCTCTTGGGGTTTTTGGAAGGACACATGTCTGCAATTAACCTCTCCAGCAAGTGGACTCTTGCAGCAGAGACTTTCGCGGGACAATCATCACTCCGGCACCGCCTCGAGCGGCAGAGCAGGAACCCGGCCAGGCCAGGAGTCCCCGGCACGGCCGATGGCCCCCCCCCCTCCTGCGGCAAAAAATTGGCTGGAGGAGAGGTCGGCCTGTCTTTGTCTGCCGGCTCGTATCTCTTCCTGCTTCCTTTGTCAGCTGCCTGAAACGGAATCAAAGCAGACAACGGAGCTGAGCAGCCACTTCCCTCCGGGGAGGGAAGCAGGCAGAGATATTTCCTGCAACGGGTGCCTGCGATGCGCTGGCTGGCTCATGTGAGCACATCTCCTATTGAACTCCTTGTGCATACCAGTCCTGACCATCGCTGGCACCGGGTAATTCCCCCCCCACCATAAGCTAATGGCAACATCTGCTGGCACCAGGGCTAACGCTGCGCTATTTTCCTAATTGTCAGGAACAGGAAAATAGCATTTTGTGGAGTGTTTTTTAAAGCAGCACCAAGGATAGCAAATGGCAGGGAGGCACGTGGAGCCGTGCCTTCTTCCAGGATCCGACTAGGGCAGCCGGTAGTTATGTGTAATTGCACACTCCTCCCCACGGAACGCGCTTCCCAGACTCGATAAAGGCGCCTCACGTCACAGCACAGGGAAGTAGGAGAAAACCGCGGCCTCGGACCGCAACGGGGAATTTGGGCTGCCAGAAAAAAAAAAAACCATTAACGCTTCAAAAACAGGAACCTACGCACGTGACTGGGGCCAACACCCCGCTCCGGCACAAAACCCCACGAGGCCGAACCACCCCACGTGATCTGGATTGCAATCTCAGGTGAAGGCACCCAACTGGGGCATCAGGCTGAGCCGTGAAGGGGAAAGAG